ACTAGCTTCCTTGTAATCTATCTCTTCAACAATGTTGACTAGCTTCCTTGTAATCTATCTCTTCAACAATGTTGACTAGCTTCCTTCCTTGTAATCTATCATCCAAAAAAAAAAAAATGTTTTTTAAATTTTTTTTTTGAACCTAAAGAAGTTTTTAATTTTTATATGTTAGTTGCTCTTGTTTATAAAAGATATACATAAAAATAAGAAACTTAGCACTTGCCTCTAGATTGAGATAATTTTTTTCTCGGAACCCAGTCTTTGTTAACCCTAAATTCTTCTCACTAATTTGATTGTCAAAAAAAATAATGTGTAGCTTTTAATTATGCATTTAAAGCACTAATAACAAATCACAGTAAAACAGAATCCCCCAAAATGAATTTATCTGCCTTTCTAACTGACCTATAGATAGGATTAAAAAATTTCTTTACTTACTAGAGCCCCAACTTTGGCCTTCACTCAATAAAAATCTGTTTGGGAAATGGTGCCTGTCATTATAATCAAGTCATTCATGACTTTTCTATTGGCTATAAATACGTTCTATTGCCAAGTAAGCATGAATGAGTTACGAGAAACTGTGGTGGGTATAACAAATTTACTGATATCTCAGAAACTAAAGGTCAAATGTTATTACTTCAAATGCTGGCCAGTAAACATCTATAGTTGGACATTCTGAAACTCGTATAAGGGAAGAAATAAATTCTGAAAATGAGAATTTAAAGCATCAAGATATTAAGTGACCCACAAATGTGAAGATTGAGAATGTATTTAAATATTTTTCAGTATTAAAGTTTGAATGACGAACTATGTTTTGATGATAAAGTTGTTTAATATAAAATTTTGATGTGGTTACTTTACCCCCCACCCGTGTAAATAGGGTTAGTTGATATTCGGGGTAGTTACATTGAATGTATCCAAATACGCATGAAAAGATCGGTACCTTATCTTATTTTTGGACCAGATGTTAAATATTCATTCATTGAAAAATTACTTTGCTTAGATGGGATCAAACTTGGAAAAAATTGTCCAAATTTCTGCTAGTAAGTAGATCACAGGGGTGTATTTGAGATCACTCAGTCAGTAACTTTACTACTGACATTTTGTAATACTGCCATATTAACAGATGGTCTGTCTTGTGCATCCGTATTGTAGATTGTTATGTTGTCAAAGATTGGTATTTGATGCTGGAATCCACTTCATTAAAGATATAACTGTTTAACCATCAGGGCTATCGGACGGGAACTAGCGAAGGTCAAGGATCTTCAAGTAGTGACTGGTGGAAGTCTTGGAGCACCAGATGTTATTGCAAAGACGTTTTTTGATGCCAAAGAAAACAATCTGATCTCTACATCAAATCAGTCTTCTGTTCAACACGTTCTTCCAATGAAAGATTTGGTAATTATTAACCTTTCACTAAAATTACGGCAGAGTTAGAATGTCTTGGTAAATTAATATTTTAAAACATCTGCTAAT